TAGTGATATTTTGTTATATTTTTGCAAATTTATATTAGATTTTTATTATTAATAAAATTTTAATATTTAATAAATTTTAATAAATAAAATATACCAATTATTGATGCTGAATTGCTTGTCTGATTGGAGTTGATTGACATTGATTAATATCTGAATTGTTGCCAAATTGATACTGAATTAAGGCTAATTTTAGGTTGATTTATGGTTGAATTGCTTGTCTGATTGGAGTTGATCAGTATCGATCAGCATCTGAATTATTACTGAATTGAGGCCAGTTTTAGGCTGATTTATGGTTGAATTTAAATTCCGAATGACCATGTCTGATTGGGATTGATCAGTGTCTATCGGCACCTGTTTGTGCTGATTGTAAAACATGGAAAATCAGACGTAAATAGTGTCAAAATCAGCCTAAAATTGGCCATCTGATTTTTAGCTGATTTGAACTATTTCAACTAGTATAACCATTTTGGTAAGCCTGCAAACACTATCTTCAGTGATCAAAAAGTGAAAAGAATAGAAAATAATTAATTAAAGAAAAAATTATATAAGCAAGTAATAGTGCAACAGTTAGAGCTATACCATAGTTAGAAAAACAAGAAGTGATAAAAAAATACAATTTGTAATCGTTGTAATCATGAATGCTCAATACCCCAAAAACTTTGTAAGCATCTTAAGCGAAAAAATCTATGCAAACTATTGTAAAATCAATGGGATATAACTTCTTCTATTCAAGAACCTGTTTAGATACCAATTTCTAGTAAAATACCTAATAAAAGTTTTCAAGACAAAAAAGAGGTTATAGCAAAAATTTATAAAGAAAGTGATCAAATTCCTGTAACTAAATCTTTGGTAGAAGCTAATATTCAAAAACTACCTTTAAGAAATCAACCAGTATGCATAAGATTAACTATAAATAAGTGTTCAAAAAAAGTCTTAAAAAATGGGCAACTTGTCTTGCAGATAGAATTGATAAACTTACTAATATAAAGCAAGACCGAAGCTGGTTAAGATTAAGAAAAAGACTTCAAGAAGCTATTAAAGTCAAATATAATAATCTTATTATAAGTGATCCAAAAGTGTGACAAGAAAGAAAGGTCATCAAATGCAAAAGAGATGAGAAAATGAAGAAATTATAGGATATATTCAACCAGAGCCTGTTTTACTAAACTCAGTTCTAAAAGTTGATCTAGAAGCCAGTCCTAGACCTAGAATATAAACACATAGAAATGATAATAAATTTAAGGATTTTATTAATAAAGAATTTAGTTATTTAGGAGAAATTACTGATAAAGAAAAAAGAGACTTAGAATTTAGAAAATAAGAAGAATTAGGAATAGCAGTTCAAAGAAAAGCTATAGCAGTACATCATGTAAAAGTTCCTAAATCCTATCCAGATAATGGTAATGATATACAAAAAATGTTAGAGAGTAGAAGAAAGCAATTTAAAGAAATACTTGAAAAGGAATTTGATAAGTGTAAATAATTTAAGTTTGCTCTATATTTTCTTACTAAATTTCTTATAGATGATAAACCTAAGAATAAAAAACAGGAAAAAAAGAATTTATGAACTGACTGGCTTAGAAATAAGCAAATTATAGTTTATAATATAGATGAAATAGATGATTACTTAAGCAATGCTTTTGAACAAATTCTTTATCAAGTAGAGAAGAAAGGAGGTAAATCTAATGCTTAAGTATCCATTGAGGGGGTAATTATGCATCTTTTACAATTTGGAGTTCTTCTCTTATAAATGAGTGTCTAGGATTCTTGTAAAGCTTATAGAGAATAGGCTAATTTTCTTTTATCAAATAAGAATCAATTGTAAAGACTTTAGGAGACTAATTGCAATCGGTTGCCTTTCTTCTTCCACCTTCTAATTCACCAGGTTCTAATAAATGCTGAACTTTTGTATAGCTAGATAAAAGTGGTTTATTATAACCAACTGGTCTTCTATGTTCGACAGAAGATTAGCTATTATTTTTTTACCTTTTAATGCCTTTTTTATAGCTTCGTTAAGAGATATATCTATTAACTGAGTAAAAGTATTATTGTAAATATCATTATTTATACAAAGTCCTTTAACCTATACTCTAAATCTATCAGTCAAAGGCAAATGAAAATCTTCAGCATCTTACCAAAAATAAGCATATTTTCAAATTCTTGATGATCATGTTCAGCAATAGCTACACTATGTTTAGAGTTAACATACTGAATTCTTACATTATAACTAAGTAATAAATCTTTACATTCGCCTATATATTCAGTACCTTTATCTATAATAAAATCTTCAGGCGGGTTAAGAGGATCATTAGAATCATTGTAAATTTTTTGAATTGCTTTAGCCATTTATGCAGATGATTTGTCAGTTAAAGCAAAACTACATTGATACCTAGTTGTAACACCTTTTATTACTCCTCTTTATTTGTAAATACGATTACCAACTTTATTATGAGGCATAGGTATATTATCAGATTGATAAGCTTTATTTAAAGTTTGAATGCTATTGAAAGAGACATACTGAATAAATTTAGACTGTGGCTTGTATATCTGATATAAAGCTTGACAGTTTAGCCATTTTTTTATCATAGAGTGAACTTATACCTGACTTTCTTGCAAGCATCCAGTATTTTTTCAGCAGTCTGATAGTAACCTTCAGGTCTATAATATATCTCTTGCAAAGTGAGATCCTGATTTAAGTCTCGAGCTTTTTAAGGATCAATATAAATCAAAGGTTCTCTCATTCCAATTTTTTATAATTATAAAAAAAAGCTGGTATCTATTAATTCAGATTCTACTCATTAGCTTGGACATTTTTTCCCTACACTTATGCCTAGCCTCTATTTCCTTCTGCAGGTTTAGTAGAGTATCAAACCTTAGGCGAATTGCAAGAAGATTATCTTTCAGCCTAGTGAGATCAAATATAATAAATTTACTTCTTCGAAGGTAGCTATTAATAACTATAAATGCATTTTTTACATCATCAGTATACTGTCTAATAATCTTAAAATATCTTCATGCAAGCTATCAGAGTTCAAAACTACTAACTGAGAGGCATTTTTACATTTAAATGTACTGATTTTATGATATTTTTGCATTACGAATATACATGAAATATTCTGATATTGTCCATTCCCAAAAAATTGATCAATTTGATTCTGTATATGATCTGAAGTAAGGTACAAATCTTCAAAAATAAATGCTGTACTTCATTCTGGTAAAAATGCTCTAACACTAGGGATTTTTTCTGGTGATATATAGTTAAATCGTATATTCTCATAGTAAGGTGCTTTCAGATCCTTTGAAATTATATCATATATATATCTTACAAATGCCCATTTAGGTTCATTAGGATAGTAATCACAAACTATCAAATCATCACATACAATATATCTAGACCTATACAAAGTGCCTTTCGGCTCTTTCTTATTTTTATATATACATTCAGCTTTATTACTAAGAAAAGATTTGCCAAAATATTAGTCTTACTTGATCTACTCTTTCCGGTGACTAGCATAAAGAAAGGCCAATCAGGTGATGCTTTATGTCCTTTTGCTCAAGAAGATTCATACTTTGTGATCTTATCCATATCCATAAGGTAAAGTTTCATAGGTGGTAATTCTTTCTTTTAGTTCTTCTATATATCGGATTAGGAACTATAACTATAATTTCTATTTAAAGGTATTTTATAGTTCAGAATATTTTTTTCTTCATTATAAGAAGAATATTGATGAGAGAATATGCGTTATATGAGGTATATGATTATTAATACTATTACAAAGATAAATGCATAATAAAAAAATAAGGAATTAAATAATAGTAGGATTGTTTCAGAACTAGTAATGCTGTTATCTTTCTCTAGACTGCTAATACCTCTAAGCATTTCAGACTCACTAGATGTTTTTAGAATCTGTTCGGCTAAACAATCATTAGCTTCTTGAAGGAGGGTCTCTTTTTCTGATAATATCTTTTATACTGAGAACAAATTATCTCTTATTTACATTAATTATTCTTTTTTATCCATTAATTCTATTTGCTTTGAGGATAATTTATCTTTCAACCACATTAATTCACCTTTTTTTTCACTTAATTCATTTTCCTTCAGATCTAAATCAACATTATTTAGCTTAACATTTTGCTTTGACTGCACTAACTTTTGTCTAAAGGAATCCATTTCTGATAAGTCTTTCTGGATTAAAAAATACTTTATTTCTAACTCTTTTATTTCTGATTGGAGAGCTTGTATCTCTTCCAATTTTGTAGTGATCTCATTCTCAGCTTTTGTGAAAGAAATATCTTTATGAATAATCTGATTTTTGAGTTCTTTCATCCTATTTTTAAGCTAGCATACACGTTTTGAAAAACTTTCATTATTTTTTATCAGGAGACTATTTCTAGTGTTAAGCTGAATACCTAAGCTTAAAGCAATATCTAGATCATATTTTAAATAAGTAAGTTAGTTCTCAAACTCAGTTCGGCTAGATGAATATTGATTAAATAGTAAATCTTCAAGTTTATTGTCAGATACTAAGAATACTCATTATTTATTTCATTCAGCATATATACGTTTACTATATAATTTACTTGAAGGTAAATATTTTTATGATTTTTTTCTAAAACACAATCTCAAATCCCATCATGTATTTTTTTATTTTAAATACTTACATATAGTAGAAATAATGTACTTTTGAACAATGCGTAAAAGATTTTTAAGATCTGATATAACTCCTTTAACAATAGAAGCTATAGAAGAAATTAGAAATGCCTTAAGGAATATTTCAAATGCATCTCGTATTATGTATAAAAAATATCAGATTGGTATAAAAAGGTATAAGAATATAGTTAATAACTAAATGCCTCCCAAACCTATTGAGAAATGAAAATTTATTGTGAACTCATCCTATTCATCTTAGAAAATTAACTGGAATAAAAAAATTGAAGGAATATATGATTTATATGCTGAACTTTCTAATTAATAATTTTTAAAGATTTTTTAATATCTATATTTTTTAAAAATAATTAGTAAAAACTGGTCTTTTTCAAAAGTTATTAAAAAAATCTGATAATATCTGATAATATCTAATAATATTTAATAAATTTTAATAAATATTGATTATAATTCTTAGATAATTATCAAAGAAAATTGATAAATTTTAATAAAAATTAACATTTTTTTTTATTACAAAGAATGGAACGTTTATCTAAAAAATATTATCGTGCAGGTGCTACTTATTTATTACTATAAGCACTTAAGAAAATCTGCAATTCTCGTGAAAAAGTTAAAAATGCTATAATAGTGATGGCTAAGAAGCATCATATTTCAATAAAACAAGTATATGAAATTTGATACAAATATGCGTTAGGTCAGCCTAGAGTTCTGGACGAGTCGAGTTAACTCATGAGTCAGATAAGCTGAGTCAAGTTCAAATCAAGTTGAGTTTATGTTTTTTGACTCGATGATTTGTGAGTTTAGTCAAATTTAAACTCAACTTGATTCGAGTTGACTCGAGTTGACTTGAACGATAAAAAAATTATTCTAAAAAGAACGATAAGAAATCGTTCGATTTGAATGATAAAAAAATTATTTGACTTGAACGATAAAAAATTATTCTAAGAAGAATGATAAGAAATCATTCTAAGAAGAATGATAAGAAATCATTCTAAGAAGAATGATAAGAAATCATTCAAGAAGAATGATAAGAAATCGTTTGACTTGAATGATAAAAAAATCATTTGACTTGAATAATAAAAAATTGTTCAAGAAGAACGATAAGGAATCGTTCAACTTAAATGATAAAAAAATCATTCAAGAAGAACGATAAAAAATCGTTCAACTTGAACGATAAAAAAAATTGTTTAAGAAGAACAATGACCCAAATCATTCTTTTCATTTTTTTTTATTATTATTTTTTTTTAAAATTGAATCGAGTTTAAATTGAATCGAATCAAATCGAGTCGAATTTAAAATTTATATAACTCAAATTAAATCAAATTGAAAGATTTTATAAAATAAATTTAACTCAACTCAACTTGAAAAAAATGAGTTGAATAGAGTTAGTCTTTAAACTCGACTCGACTCAACTCATTCAGAACTTTAGGTCAGCCTGATCGTGCTCAACAAGATTTACAGTCAGAAGGTGTAGAGCATGATACTTCCTCCTCTACTATCATATAAGAAGACGGGTTCA